GCAAAATAATTTTTCGAACCAATTTGACAATTGAAATACCGCGTTCGTAGAGAAGCCTTCCTGTGTCGCAGTCAAAAATCTTGAATCCATCTCTCGTTCCGATTGCAAAGCAGCTGAAAAAAGAAAAATTAATGAAAAAATTAATAATAATCAAAGGAACACAGGAAAAACCATATTCGATCTGTTTATTGAATGGTATTTGGATGGGGAAACCTGTTGTCTTGATTGAAGGAAGCGCATCGCAGAAGAAGAGAAGATGATTGATTCGCCATTTGAAACCTTCACTCGCACTTTTCTTTTTCTGTTCGAAGATCATCGTCTTATTTCCTCACTCAGCAAATCTATTTTAAAAAACAATCTGTAAATTGTACCTAAAAAAAAAAAACAAAAAACACAAAATCTGTAAATTTAATTGTTTTAATACACACTTGAGATTTGAATTTATATCTCTCCACCTACTTTTATTGTGTTCACGGCCTCTTGAAAATATTTTGGTCTACTATCAATATAATTAAATAATATGAATCAGTTATTCTTACAAAACACATTAATTTTAATTTGATATTCATTCATTCACATAATTTTAATTATACATCACTTTCAATCACTTTTTTCATATCTGCATTAACTAGTGTGTAGCCCCGTGCGATACACGGGTAAACAATATTAAATAATAATTATAAATAGGTCTCGAGTTCGAGTGGTGGGGAACCATAATCCTATTTTAAAAGAGCAAAAAAAATATATAAATTAAAGATGTTGGGGTTAACATGTGATATAATTTACAGTCGTATATCAGTTTATTATCAACAATATAAAATTAACTTGTATAAGAAAACATAAAGTTTGCATGTTTAAAATATTATGTAAAAGTATGTAAGAATTTATGTGTTATTATTAAAAGATGTGAAGTCACCTACAAATTTTTTAAACTATTTTGGAAAAAAAAAACATATTTAAAAACATTTAAATTTTACATTTGTGTGAAAAATGTTTTCTAACTCTTTTGTAAAGAAAACATGTTTAAAAATATTTAAATACGTGTATATGTATATAGATATAATATGACATGATAAAATATTATATGAAAGTATCTAAATATCATAAGCCTAAATAAAAACATTATAAATTTTTTGAGAGAAAATTTACCACTTATATATAAAATTAATAATGACATGATATCGAGAATTATGACGGTATTTCTTATTATTTTTTATAAGTTGTTACCGTTAAAAAGAAATTTTGTACGCATATCAATTTCATGCTTTATGCAGATTTATTATTTTTACAAATACAGATCAAGATTAATGTAAAATGTAACAAATAAAATAGAATTTTATATATAAGTGATAATAATACAAAAATTGAAGATAATATTTAAATCTTGCATTTTTTCTATTAACTTTTTATTATGTGTATTTAATATTTTTGGAGGAGATATATGTGATAAATCTTATTCTCATTATATAAAAATATATATATATATATTAAAGACATCTAAAATATTATATTACATTTTTAAAAAGTATATAAAAATATTCTATATTATCCTTGAAAAATGTTTGAAGCCACTCTCTAAACTATTTTTCAAGAAAAATATGTCTAAAAATACTTAAAGTTATATATATCCTCCAT